AAGTTTGGTATTCAAAGGGTCAAACATGCATGCATACAACTCATTTAAACATATATTCTCTATTAAATCAATACTGGCCATCTGATAGTTGATTCAGAAATCAAAACAGTCTCAAGAAGTAAAGCACTCCAGTCATACACTGTTAATTCACTGACTCACTATTTAAACTACATGTACATCTATTAAAAATGTGGAAGTAATGTCATCTTTAAGTCTCATTCTTTTAACTCATCAGTGGTGATTGCTGTCTTTTTCTTCATTGGAAGCGAGGAAACTTTCAGGTTTAACTCCTCTCCTACTTCTTCTATTACTTGCAATGCCTGTGGTCCAACATAAGAAGAAAAAAACAATTTTGTTTATTAAGTTTATAGAGTAGTAGCCCGGATTTGCTATAAACCGGTTCATGCCTGGGTTTGAACAGGATTCTGGTTTATATATAGGGTGCAGTCTGGGTCTGGGAAGGTTTCTGGTTCATACAGGTTTTTTAAGTCTGGTGTTCGCCACGGGGGAAAACTTGGGTAAAACTCTAATGGGGAAGTGTTATATTTTATATAACACTCTAGATTAAATGTTTTCTAAGTAATAAAATGTATACTCAATCAATTTTGAATATCACTGGTAGTAAGATATCCCAAAGTTTTAGCATTCCAAATGCAATATTTGCAACAAAGTTAATAAAAAAACAAATTCCGCCGCATACCCAGGCAGTTCAGTAACAACATCGGAAGTAAGCACACATGCTTCTGTATTTTTTTTAATCAAAGAAAGAACCAAAATAGTCAATAGATCCATCATGGTATGAGTATAACCAGATTGGTAGCTAGATATACCTGGTTTAGACCAACAGACTGTTAGCCACAAATTTCATTACAAAAAGGGATTAGTATTTCATAATGCATGCAACACCTCCCTGTCATTGTGCAATGTGTTAACCACACCAGCACCCTCATCCCACCACCAAGGGTGGTCTAGGCAGATTTCTGGTTGAACATAGGTTCTACTGTAATAATAAGTCTGAACTAACCTGGTCTAGCATTTCTTTGGTGTGACCTGCGGACAAGCAGAACCGAGCACGGCATTCAAAAGCTGAAGTAGCAGGAGCACCTACGACTACTACACCAATTTTCTTCTCCAAACATTTTCTACTGAAAGCACTTGAAATTAAAAAAAAACAAGTCATTGTCAATGACACGTCCCCGTTCCATTCATATTTGAGTGACATATACATTCAAAGCAGATCATGACTGAAATGCACCTGCATATGTACAACACATTGTGCTAAATCTGAACAAAATCCATCCATGCATGACTGAGATCCGGTTCTGGAATTGTGAAAATACGTGATTTTGATGCATTTTCGGCCTTAAAATGGCCATCATTCCGCTATTGTTAAGCAGATCATGAAACAAATGCACATATCTATTTGTGACATGATGTACCATGTGTGTGTGAAGTTTGAACTTGATCAATC